CCCAAGCCACCTCCATCCAGGCCATCAGTGAGCATGCCATCCTCCCACGTAACAGAGCCATCCCACCTCCCCGTGGCTTTCTACTCGTTCTGGGTGGAAGGAGCCTCGGCTGCTGACATGCCGGAGCCGAGCGGGTGCCGGTGGATGGCCAGGAATGACGGTGGGGTCTCAGTCCTGCTCCTCACTTGTGCCCATTGCAGGCTGACCTGACGGTGGACACAAGTGTGCGGGGGCTGCTGTCTGTACTGCCGATCCTCTCCGAGAAGCACAGCGGGACTCTGCTCAACTGGGAAGGCAAAGCTATTCCTTGGTGACCGCGCTCTGCTCCGGCGAGGGACCCCGCAGTGCCGGGGGACTCTACGGGTGCCCTGGAGCACCGGGATGCTCAGCCCTCTCTGTGCTGCAAGGGACCTTATTGGGACTCCACCCGGCGTGCAGGGCAGCCTGTGATCCCTGCCTTCATGTTGATAAGAAATAAAGTCAATTAGTACCTGTGCCTTCTCACAGCTGCAGTGCCCCTGCTGAGACTGTCTCTGCCCTGGCCTGGAGCTGGGCCCTGCAAAAAATAACCTGGCATTATAGCAGTCTGCCTGCCTTGCCTTCGGCTGCTCTGAGCCAAAGTGGGCACATAACCAGCCCAAAGCCCCGCTGTTCCCCTGGGCTGCTGAGTGTGCCTGGATCTGCTGAGTCCCTGCCGTTTTTCCACCCAAAGCGTGGTGTCTCTGCTACAGATTTCCTGGGGGGGCTTTGTGCTGGACATGGTGTCTTTGGGAGCAGCCTTGGGGCTGGAACGGCAAGACCAAGCACCACAGTGCTGTTCTTCAATCCCAGGCAGTGAGGTTTTCCCACAGGGGAGCCCCAGCTGGGCACGGTACCCCTGGATGGGGGGAAAAACCTGGTCCCGTGGGGGAGCACAGCATGGGAACCACACTTCTGTGGGATGGAGAAGTTGAGAACCTTAAGATGGGCCAGGCAGCCCAGGACTGCATGAATTTGCCCAGGAGGTGGTAACATCCCCAAAGAAAAGGATTTTGGGGTGGTGCTGGGTTTTTGTGGGAGGGTTCTGCCCCTTCTGGATAAGAGCTTCTCTTTGGGGAGCATGGGGAAAAGGAGCCAGGGCTCCTGCAAAGCTAAGCCTGGTCTCAGGAGGGCAGAGCAACCCGGCTGGCAGGAGAGGCAAAGCCACTGCTCCTTCCCTCAGAGGCCACCACTGCCTCTTGCTCATCTGGAGGATCAGCTGAAGCACCTCTGTCCCTCTGGGTCTGCCCTTTTCTGGGGTCATACCTCTTACCCCGGAGCGGGGGCCTGCCCGGTAGCACCAGCTTTGCTGGGAATCTTGAGACTGTGCTGAGGGCTACTCTGCACAGGAGCCCTCAACATTTCCCAGCCAGAAACACAAATGCTACAGCCCCCCCCCCCCCCCCCCCTCAGGGACAGACTCCTGGGCTGGGGCCATGTCTCTGCCCCACCGAGGCGAGCTGCACCCCAGTGAGTCACAGGCACCAGTGAGTTTTATTTCCTCACCAGCTCCTGTTCTTCCCAAGCCAGCGACAGTTTGGTAGCTGAGACTTTTGAGAGGCCGGGAAAGAGTTCAGCAGGGAGCATCTGCAACCCGGGTGCCAGCCTGGGCTTGGGGACACGGTGCCTGTGGCTGGAGGTAACGGCGCTGCCAGAGCTTGTGAGCTTGGACCCCCTGCTCCTTGTACCCCCTTCTTGGGGGATCCTGAGCAAGCCAGGTGCCCAGCCAGGAAAAGGAGGAGAGGCAAGATGCCCCTATGAAGTTCAGGGATGTTGGGAGCATCCCTAGGTGGAGAGAGGGGTCCCTTGCTCCGCGCAGGCACTTTCCATAGTGGATGGAAAGGCCCTTTCTGGAGCAATTGCAGGAGCTGGGACACCTGGGCCCCACTTCTCTCCTGGAGCTGGGGCTCTGCTGCCCCATCCCTGGCATGTGCCAAAGGAAGCCAAGCCCGTGGGGCTGATGGAGCTCGCTGTCTTCCCCACGCCCAGGCTGACGTGCGCTTTTCCAAGCCCCTCACTGTGCTTTCCGAGGCCCTTCCCCTCCCGCGCTCAGCATCTGCCCAAACAAACCGAGCCCCACTGGGGATGGGGAGCGGTGCTGCTGCCCCAGCTGAGGGGAAGCTCTGAACCATCTGGGTTCTTCCCAGCCACCTCATTTCCCATGCAAATGCTCACCTGTCTTTCTTCTTTTCTTTCACGGCTCATATCTGTGGCCGGAGGAGTCAGTGCCCACCCGGGCACCTCCCTGGGCATTTGTCAGCGCTGCGATGGCAGCAAGAGGAGAGAAATCCCCTGTGAGGAATGACTGAGGGCCAGGAGCATGGGTGAAGGGCCTGATCCTGCAGCTGTGTGGCTGTGCTCAGCCCAGCACCAGCTAAGAGACATGGCCAAGCCTCCACTGAGTACATTTCTTGCCCCTTGGCAGAGGTTCTCCGGCCCCAGTTGCTCCACACAAGCCAGCTGGAGCCCGGCCAGTCACTGTGGGCTGGCTCCATGCCCATCTCTTTCCATGTTTCTCCCTTTTGCCCCATGCCACGTGCTGAATCCTGGGCAATGAGCTATGCCAGGGATCCCACCACTGCCTGCAGGCAGCTTGTAGCCCCCCCGTGATCATTGCCAGCCTCATGAGATGGATGCAGCTACTCCCCTGGGGACATGGGGAGAAACGGGACTGCTGAAAGCTGGGACAAGCTCTGTCAGCGTGGCTGATGGTCTGCAGTGCTGGTGACACAGGATGGTTGCCCACCTGCTGTGGCAGAGGGGTTTTGGCTGAGCTCGGGAGGCTGATAAATCTGTGAGCATCTCTCCGGCCCTTCACTGTCGTGGTTTAACCCCAGCCAGCAACTCAGCCCCACGCAGCCGCTGGCTCACTCCCCTGCAGTGGGATGGGGGAGAGAATTGGAAGAATAAAAGTGAGAAAACTTGTGGGTTGAGTTACAGACAGTTTAATAGGCAAAGCAAAAGTTGTGCGTGCCAGCAAAGCAAAACAAGGAATTGATTCACCACTTCGCATGGGGAGGTGGGTTCAACCATCTTCAGGACAACCAGGCTCCATCACGCGCTGACGGTGACTTGGAAGACAAATGCCATCACTCCGAGCATCCCCTCCTTCCTCCTTCTTCCCCCAGTTTTATATGCTGAGCCATATGGTCTGGGATGTCCCTGAGGACAGTGGGGGTCAGCTGTCCCACCTGTGTCCCCTCCCAACTTCTTGTGCACCCCCCAGCCCACTCGCGGGTGAGGTGATGTGAGAGGCAGAAAAGGCCTTGGCTCCATGTAAGTGCTGCTCAGCAGTAACTAAAACATCCCTGAATTATCGACACTGTTTTCAGCACAAATCCCAAACATAGCCCTGTACTAGCTACTGTGAAGGAAATTAACTCTATCTCAGTGAAAACCAGCACGCCTGGGAACTGAGGCATCACAGCGTGGGCAGGTCACCCCGGACTGTGTGCCAGAGGTGGTGAGAGGAGTAATTGGAAGCTCTGCAGGTGAAGTCCACCCTGGCATTACTAGAAGCCCAGCTGCTGGGGGGGTGAGAACAAACCCCGAGGGGCTGCTGGCCGTTGAAGCATCATGAGCATCAGCCTGTAGGAAGCTCAGTGCAGTGGGCTTCCCTGCGGGTGTTGGGACAGCAGGCTAATTGCCGTGCAGAACCAGGTGTCAGCGGGTCAGTCAATGCCATTTTTCAAGCCAACAGGAGACAGGGACAGGACCTCCGCAACTGGGAGTCGCCCTTGGTGAGTGCTTTGCCGTCACAAGTGAGGCCAGCTGCTCCCCAGGAGCCTGTTCTTTCACCCCGCAAGACGGGGCTCATCCCAAGGGGGCACATGTTGGAGCTGAGCTGCCAGAGACTATGCCCACCATGGTAACTTGGAGGCCAGGGATGCCCTTAAGATGCTCCAGGACAAATGTTCTTCAAGAAGCCTCGGTGAGGGGCCGGTTGGGCAGGTCTCCCTGCTCAAATGCTTGCCAAGTAGTGTCGGTTTTTCCTTTGCACAAATTCCGGGTGTTTGTGTTCACGTAGCTGATTATCTCCCCGTTTCCTCTGCTGCCTGATGTTTCCTGCCTCGTTCACTCCCTTTTGCCGGCTTTGCCCTTTGTGTCAGGCTTGTCTCCTGGCTCTGGGCAGCACCAGACCTCAGCGTTCCCCCCGCCCTGCCCACCGTGATGGCAACACGCAGCCCTGGGCGCTGTGCCCTGCGTCCTGTCACCGGGCTGCAGCACAGTGCCCCCCAGGAGGCGTGTGAAATGCCAGCTCCGCCTGGGAGCACGGGCAAGCTGGGATAGGGAAAGGATGATTTAGGATCCATCCGTATTCTGAAGCTGGGGGACAGGTGCCAACTGGACCAGCGCATTGCCACAGGGGGCTACTGGGTCCAGCAGCGGGGAAATCTGGACGACTCCTCGGGGACCCTTCACGCAGGGGATGCACAAGGAACACGTCTGGGGACTTCCAGGGACCATGGGTGAGGAGGTTGTCACCCAGAGCATCTCAGACTGCCTCCACCAGCCCCCGTATAGTGATAGTAGCATCTGGGTGCAAACTTATCTCTGCTCTGGGAAGCCCAGCAGCTCTCCAGGCTCTAGGGATCGACTTCAGTGATGGGAAAGGCCCATATTTTCTAGGATCTTCTACCAGCTGCCTTCTTTCAGACCAGTAGCCACTGGCAAAGACTTGTTGTGGCAGGAGCTGGGTCAGGACAGGAGCTGGGAGGACTAGGGAAGTCCTGGCAGGACTTGCCAGGATCGGGACAAGACGCATTTCGAGAGGGAACCGTAGGGCAACCAGCAGCAGGCAGAGCCCCCGCGGAAGGCAAAGCCTGCTCCAGGAGGAGAGGGTCAAAAGAGGAGACTGGGAACGGAAAAGGGCTGCTCCTGTGACACAGATGCAGCTGCGGAGGTGGAGCAGCAAGCAGGAGGCAGGTCACAAACAGCCAGCACACGAGGAAGTGCTGGGACACCGGCCAGGGTGGCCAGGGCGGCTGGCCGCAGCAGCTCCAGGTGCAGCAGACCTTCGGTGGCCGGGGAAGGACTGGGACCAGAGGCAACCAGAACAGCAGGGACCCCAGCCAGGACCTGGAGATCCCCTCAGCAGGAGTCTTCTTCCAGCCAAACCAGCTCTTCGTTCTGCCAAGGTGTGAGCAACTGTCCATGGCCTGGGGGGGGGGACGGGGACGGGGGACGGGGACGGGGCAGCAGGGTGGGGACATCTCCGTGCAGGGTGGCACCTCGATCCTGTGGCTGAGCCCTCTTGGGTGACCGTTGCCAGAGCCACCAGCGGTGGGGTAGACTGACACTGGGAAGGCTGGATCATGTAGGGGACCTGCGGCTCTCTGGGGCGGGGGAGGGGTGTGTGTGTGCAGTGCTGGGAGGGTGCTGGGGCCCAGGGCTGCCACCAAAATATGAGGACCCAGCCTGGGTGCATGAAAAACGCGGCTCAGGAAGAAGCACATCCCGGTCCCTGCGGCACAAGGGCTGCCGAGGAAGCCGAGTGGGGCCAGCAGATAATGTGCCGAGGCTTCCTCCGGCACCGCCGCAGCGGCAGGGCTGGGGTTGCTCCATCGCTATCTGGCCCTGCAGAGCCCCGCTCATCCCTTCTCCTCTGCCCTGTTATTGTTAGCCGGGAGGGAGCAGCTCACCAAGTCCCACCTCAAGCTTTTTAACCCGCTGCTGCCTGGCCCTGCTGCTCTCTGCTCCCGCTGGCCAGAGCCGGGAAGGCTCCGTGGCTGCCCTGGGAGGACCGTTTGGTACTGGGAGCTTGCCGCAGGCTTTACCTCCCTGGGGACCAGTGGCACATCCCCCCCCAGCAGGTCTCCTTCAAGCCACGTTGTCCCCCATGGGTGTCCCACAGCCACTCTTGCAAAGGGTGGACGCTGGCATTGTCACCTCTCCGTGCGGAGAGAAAATCCTGAAAGCTTTAAGTGCCGATGATTCCCTCCTTGCTCTCTCTTCCCCCTTTTAGCTGGTCGGATCCTGCCTGGTGCTTCCTCTGGAAGCCCCCCTGGTCTGCTGGGGGGCACCATGGAGGCGGCAGCTTTCCCAGCTTTGCACAGATTTAACCCAAATATCTAATAAACCATTTGGAGGAAATCCATCTTGGGGAAGAAAATTACAGCACTTCACTGGCTTCATTTGACGAGCCGGGGTTTACTTGAACCTCAGGGTCTCTGGAGCTGCTGCCTGCCGCTCCTTGGGTAAGTGGAAATCAGACAGACATCTCAGCAACCTTCTCCAGATCATCGTCTTGTCCCACAACTGAATTCTGCCAAATTGTCCCCCTCTTTTCATCTGGCAGGGAGGGGACCTTAGTGTCTTGTCAGCACAGGCCGGAGCTATGTCTTCCCTGGTGATGACCACCGCGGCACACCTCTCCTGAGCATCAGCACCCATGCAGGAGCAGAGGTAGGTCACTGAGCTGCTGCGCCTGCTGGGGTGGTGCAGAGATGCTCCACGTCTCCTGCACGTCATATGTTGACATACCCATCACACACCCTTGTGCCCCACGTGCACCCCCGGCATAAACCAGCGGTTCTCCTGGGCCAGCCGGCTCTATGACCCGGGGCCCTGGCACAGCCACAGCCGTGGATCTTCCAAAAAAAAAAAAAAAAAAAAACCAAAAAAACAACAAACCCCGTTTGGGAGCTGTGCAAGCCGTGCTGTTACCCGAACTCAGCACAGGCGTGTGCACGCGGGGGTTGCAGCAAGGTGCTCGCCCTCGCTCCCACAGCTGGGGCTTCTGCCCGTGCCTTTGCCCCCAGCGGTGCCCGCAAAAGAGGTGACACTGCCCGAGTGAACCCTTGGCTGTAGGACCCAGTCCTGCTTTGAAGGGTCCTGGTGGGGTTTTGGTGCAGGTCAGCCTCTCCCTGCCCGTCCCCCAGCACCGGCTGGGCCTGAAATTCCAGCTCTTGCAGAACAAGTTCCCAGGAAGCTGCACCTGGAGCTGGCACCCGCGCCCGAGCGGCCCGGCGTGCCTGTCCGGTGCCGTGAGCGTGCATGGGGGGCTGTGGGGATGGCGGATGGGGTGAAGCTGCCCGGGGCATGCCACGGGCTAGGGCAGCTTTCCTGCTGCTCGCCTTGCTAGAGGGATCGTCCCCTCGGTCCCCAGCACATCAGCACCCAAATGCATCTGTGCAAACGTGGCGAGTGGCGCAGGAATGCCCCTGGAGACCAGCAGGTACCATCCCAGCCTCTCCAGTGGCAATGGTTTGTGTCCTAGCCCTTGCCAGGGACGCAGAGTGATGTGGCCAGGATGCCCACTCAGGTCCCAGCCCCGCTGCCCTGGAGCATCCTTCCCCGCCTTGTTGGCTCTAGGGAGGGGACTGAGACCCAGTGATGGCAAGAACAAGGATTCAAGCTCATTTTGACGAGCTCTCTCCCCTGTGTCGCTCTCCTCGGAGCTAGGGAAGTGACGCTGGGGAGGAACTTGGCTCCTCTTGTTTGTTATTACAGGATAAAGTTACCCTTTAAAGCAGAGCCAGGGCTGTCAGGGCTGCATACCATCCGGGAACATCGCTCCTTCCCAACGGCTCCAACACACTTCTTGTTATTGTACTCGCGTGGAGCCAGCCCGTTCCCAGCGCTGGGCGCAGCGAGGGGGACGCAGATGGGGGGATCTGAAAAGGAGCCTCGAGGCTCTTTTTCCACCCTGGGAAAGTTGGAAGCAAAGGGAAAAGGCGTCTCTCTGGAGAGGGAGAGCTCTTCTGGCTCGGGGATATGTGGGGAAGGAGCAAGGGCTGAGAGCAACAGAAGGGCAGGGAGAGGTGGATGTGGCCAGGGTATGCTGGGGGTGTCTGTTGTCCCCCCAGAGAATGACCAGGGTTGCTGCCCTCACTGCAGCTCGGCTGTGGACATTCTCAAGGGGACGGACCACTGGTTCCCACTGGGGAAACTGGCAGGGGGGTGGCGTATGGCTGGCACCCATCTCTCCACCCCACGAGTCCAGCGCCAGCTCAGCATCTCCGGGCGATGCGCAGCCAGAAAGAGGGCTGGCTCCTCCGTCGAGCTCCAGCCTCTGTTCCTGGTGGTTCCAAATCCAGGCGACCCCCCCTTTTCCTGTGAGCTGGCACCCCAGGAGACACCCCAGCACCCCAAGACTTTGCGGACATGAGGGTTCCTCAGCAGTGCCTCGGCCATCCCACCCACACTAGGCCCTCTGGAGGGGGGCTGGGGGGCTCGCTTAGGGCTTGACCCCCCCCTGCACTGAGCCGTGACGTGCCTGTGGGGTGGAGGGGAAGGAAGCCGGCCCTGTGGAGCTGAGCCAGGGAGAGCTTCCTGGCAGTGAGCTCCGGCCTCCAGCGCCTTCCATGCTGCTGCAGATGGCTCCGAGCAGGATGGAAAGCAAAGGGCTGTGCGAGCCCTTTCCAGCCATTCCCCAGCCTGGCACCCACCCGCCAGCCGGTGACGCAGTGCCGGGGCCCCGTCACACCGGCGGGGTGTCGGGGAGGGGGCGGTGGGGGGGAAGCCTGACTCATCCTCGGCAGGAGAATAGGAGACTTGCACGTGTAAACGGAGCTGGCCCCGGTGAGCCAGGGCATGTGACAGATACAGGAGAGACAGGCTGGAGCCACAGCCCCGGGGCTGGTGGCATGGACACATGTGCTAGGGGCATGTGAGAGGGGGCTTGGCCTGCGGAGAGCCAGAATCAGTCTGCTCCCGCCCCGTCCTAAGGCTCAGGGGAGCATCACTTGAGTGGGGAGGATGAGGCAGGATCTGTGCTATTGGCACGTCCCCCCCCCCCGCTACCACTGCCCCACCGATGGCTTTCAGCAACCAGTTCTAACCCCTGGTCCCGCTGTTTGGCTGCCACCGCTTTCCTTCAGGGACACCCCTCCCAGCAGGGACCAGTTTGAGCCAGCAGCGCAGGACAGGCAGAAGAGGCGCAGGATGAGGCCAAAGCTCCTGAGATGCCACCTCGCGGTGCCAGCTCCAGGAGCAGAGCGCAGCTTGAGGTGTCAGGAGGTCTCCCTGCATCTTCTCTTCCGCCAGGATGGAGAGAGCATGGAAATGCCAGGCTTGGGTGCACAGAGGGTCACCGGGTGCCTGTTCCCTCCCCAGGACCAGGGATCACTCAGAAACCTCCCGGTCGGGCCGATGCACTCTCCAGCACATGATTTCCCCTCGCTGTGAGCTCCGGGCTGGGAGAGTCGCAGGCCAGTGGGGACAGATAATTGCAGCTACTTCCTATCCTCGCTTACCCCATGCAGCCAGCTTCATTTCCTCAAACCCCATCCCAGCGTTTTCTTGGTGGTTTTCTTGGAGGGGAGGGAAGGATCATTTGCTGAAGGCTGGTGCTCGCTGCAGGGAGCGCTTTCGTGCTCTGGGAGGCCAATGTGGGTGCCCGCTGGCTGCCCAGCACGGACCCGCTCTGTGCTTTTGGGTGCAGCGGGTGCTGCTTATGAGGGGACGGGGACCCCGCCTCGGCGGTGCTCAGGACCACCACGGAGGGGATCAGGGTACACGCAGGTTCCCCCCGCGCTGCTCGGGGAGGGTCCACGTTCGCATGTATTTGCAAACAGCCCTGCCAAATTTGCAAATTCAGCCCTGCCAAAGCACCTCGTGCTCCAAATTGCTTTTTCCTCTTGCATCCCCTACGGCGGCGGCGTGCCTGGCCTGGGCCAGCTTTGGGGCAGGGTATTCCCACCCGCAGCCAACTCGATGGGCTGAGCTTTACCCTGGCGTCGATGCCGAAGCCCCGGGGCTGCCGATGCCGCACCGTGGCCGGGCTGTGCCAGCCTCCCTGCCACCGACCCTGTGTGCTGAGCCCGGCTGGTTGCTGGGCTTGCCCATGACCTCAGCTTTCCTGCTCAGTGTCAGACGGTCCCCGAGGGGCTGCAGGAATCTTGTGAATCATGCATACTTTTGGAGTGATTCCTCCCCGGGTGGGTGTGAGATGGTTCTTACAGTGCCGGGGTGGGGATGGCTGCCTGGTTGCTGGAGGTGCTGTGGTCCCAGGGGACGTTCAGCCCCCCAGGCTGAGCTGGGGGAGGGGTTGAAGGTGCTGCCTGACACCTTTCCAGGGTGGAGAAGAGACTTAGGAGAAAGGACAGCTGGCTGGTGGCCACAGAGTTTGGACTAGCCCACGGTGCCCTTCTGCAGCTCCTTGCTCTCCTTGGCCTGTGCTGGGGCTGAGTCTGCTGCAGCTGCAATCTGGATGTTCTGGCTTCCCTGCAAAGCCCTGACTTGAGTGCCTGCTTGCCAGCCAGAGCGTCTGGGCGAGCTGACCAGCGACCAGCACCGGCCAACACCAAGCAGGTTTGTGGCCGTTCTGGGGCTGTCCTTGCCTCCCTTCTCCCAGCCCCACCGGCAGGCAAAGTGCCGGGACAGGCAGCTCTGCCCCATGGAGAGGGACAGGCTGGGTCAGGGGCTGCACCCCAGCCTGCTGCTGCTGCAAGCTGGCCCTGAGAAGGGTTTTCAGCAGAGCTCAGAGGACCTGCTGGCACAGCCTCTCCCCACTCCCGGCCAGTTCCCGAGCCCGGCCGGGGCCCCGGTGAGTCAGCTGGAGCAGCAACTCACAATGCTCACGCTGCACCAGCACCGCCCTGGCTCCCTCCACTTTTTTTTTTCCCAGGTTGTGTTCCCCAAAAATAAGCAGCCGGAGGGATGAGGAGCCCGGTGCCGGGATGACGGACGCTGAGCTCCAAGCCTGCGGCAGGCTCTGCCGAGCCGAGGCACCTCGGCTGCTCTTGGGGATGACGGCCGGGCTCCGAGCACACATGGCTGTCCCGGCGCAAGGCTTGAAAGCTCTGGCCTGCCCTTACTGCTTTGCTCCAACGCTGAGCAGGAATGCTGAGCACGCAGCAGCTCCAGGGCGGCGTGGAGGGAGGCAGGCCCGGAGCCAAGCTGGCCTCCTGCCCTCCGGAGAGAGGGGAGAGGAAGACGTGGCTCCAGGCCCAGCCTGCGGCGAGAAGAGCAATTTGGGCAGAGACCCCGTGGCGCGGGGGTCCACCGATGCCTCAGAGTTTTCTCTGCATGGCAGCAGGCAGATGCAGGCAGCTGGCAGGTTGCTGCAGCTGCCAGGGGGAGAGGAACGCGCTTAGGGTGCTCCCAGCTCACCAGGCTCTGGCAAGGTGCAAATCCTGTCCTGGGAGGAGCTGGCTGGTGCTCAGACGGGGTGCCCTTGCGCTGAGGAACTCCTGCCTGCACCAGCCCCCAGCTTCCCAGCAGGGACAAAGACTGCCGGGAAGCCTCTTCCTGTGGCTGGGGTCCAGGAGTATCCGTATCCACGCTGGGAAGGTTAACCCCTGCCTGCCGGTGGGCATCACCCCTCCTTAAAACCAGGAGGGGGGTTTGGGGGGAGCAGACAGGCCACGGGGTGCTGCGGGGACTGGGGCGGCGAGCCTGCCCTTGCTTTTGTTTGCAAAGCTGGTCTGTGCCAAGCAAACTGCCGGTGACCTAGAATAGCC